ACTCAAAATCAGATATTCAACATCACATTAGAACACAACAATTCCAGGAATTATTAACACAAATGGACACAATACAAAGACAATCAATTGACCAAAACTTACGCAAACTTGCCGAAAACGCAGGATTTGCAGACATCTATACGCAAGACTATAGCGGATATTTTAAAGACATTAAAGATTATATATATCTAAACGGTGAAAAATACCGTCCCCAAGATATATCACCTATCAATATTTTTAGCTTTGTTACACTCAAGAATGAAATTCTTGATTTTCTAGGATGGCCCTACTACATCTTAGAAAAACTAACTATTTTATACGCAATGTTTAACTTTATTGGATTTCTTTTTTCACTCTTAAAAGGAATCTATAACACATGTGCTATACACACACAAGTCAATAGACAAGCAAGTGTAGCACGCATACTATTTGCAGGATTTTTTGGAATATTTTCTACATGTATAAACAAAATTCTTTTAGACGCACAAATAAAAGAATATAACACAAAAATAGCAACAAGACAGAACACATACGACGAAGAACATAACAATGCAGACACAACACCAACAGCACCACAGTTACCACCCCTACCACATAACCATCCATTATCCCTAGTCCCACGTAATTTTCGAAATTTAGCCATAACACAATAATTTTAGACCAACCATATCACAAAGTCCCATCCAACATATAATGCCACACCACTCACAAGATGAAAATACTTATGAACAAATTATAGAACAACCCCATACCACCGCTTTTCAGTCTCAAAATAATAATTTTTTTAGCCCACGATGAGCCGACAACTTGGATCCCTACACCGATCAAATTCCCACCCAACCAACCTCACCACTCCAATCCCAATAAAACCACTTTTTGCTTTTCCGCCACCCGATTTCCCATCCAGTAATGTAACATCCGGCATGAGTTCCGATACTAATTCACACATCTCAGTTTTATACTCCATTTCACAACTCAATAACCCGAATATTGAAACCCCCAATGAATTTGCCGACTCTGAACCATCTCCATCAAATAATTTTCACACCAATCCTTAAATTTTTCCCAACCCCCTTTTCAACCCATACTACCAAATAACCCTGACCCAACCAATTCTACACCCTCTTATGCTTCCCAAGTCACTCCAACCTACTCCTCACTTCACTCAAACCAATCATCTCATTCTTCAGACACCCCCCGAATCTCCCCAGAACTAGATAATTTCATTACCCTACAACAACAATCCTATCACCTTGACACCCCAACCATAAACCAAATCTCATCCACAATAGATTCATCCAACCCTCCTACCCCTACACCCTCTTCAATTTATACTGATTCTTTAGCACCATCATCCACAACTACTGTATCTTCACTCAGCACTAATAGAGCTTACCGCACTTTTAAAAGGAAGTTCCCCAACCATCCTTTCCCAGCGAAACCAGGAACAGCCCGTGAATATATCAACCATCCACAACACACTAACACAAAAAAATTTTTAGCTATCACCTTACCCTCATTTCCACAATACACCTTAAACACCCCTCATGACACTAACGAGACATGTAACTTTGTAGACGAATACGTTTTAATGCCTACCCTTCCTTGGACCTCATATTATCATTTTACAAATCCCCTTTGCTTACCTTTATCTAACACTCATATCGATATAGAACGAAATAAGGACATGCTATATCGACTCACTACACCACTAACACCTAGACAATTTACTTACATTGGATACAAAAAATCACTAAAAACACACACTGCACCCCGAGCTAATGAATATACACTAGAATATTACGATCATAACATCATCAGAACTAACCAAGATCAATTCTTAGACGACGATCGCTTCGCTAACCCACAAATCACCGAGAAATTTTTCATTAAAACACCATATGTATTTACACTAAATATCTTCGATCGCAAGTTTGACCACATTATCTCAGAAGCACTAACAGACACGCAAGCCTACGAAAGTTTTAAAGAACGCTTCCAAATATTTTCACTAACCTTTCGTTTCCTTGCACCACATGAAAGAGATTTGCACTGCTCACACGATATTATGTTGCGCACTAAACAAACACACACATATACTTATTATCGTTTCATCCAAAATCCCTTTGACCTACACACTCCCTCCAGACAACCACACCATCGTTTTCAATTCATCAATTCCAAATACACCTCACCTTTCTTTCTTAACTTCACATATTGCATTAAAGATACTAACCTTCATGGTATTCTTCGAAATTATGATCCCATAACCCAAATGTATATCTTTTGTCCCATCACCAAGACCTTCAACGCAGAAGAATCCCGACCCTTCCTCATCCCACACGAGTTTGTACAACCTATAGAAATCCCCATTTTAGAATTCATCCATAACACTAAATTCAACCACAAATTATATAATCTAATCCAAAACACACCTTATGAATTTGCAGTTGGCACTGAAGAACTAACCACCATTAAGGCACCTCAATTGCTTTGGCCACTGCTTCAAACTAAAAATATCATCCGCATATTAGCCAAACTACTAACAACTTCAGATCTCATCCACGACATTTTCCCCCACGGTTTCTTCCCCGACGACTAACAGGTAAGTATGAATTATACATATTACTAATTAATTCAAACATTAGAAACTCACCATTCTTTATCCATGTTTTCTTTAGAATTTTAGCCTTCATCCTAGATCATCTGAAAAATTCACAAAAGAAAAATAAAAAATAGCAAACTTCTTCAAAACTGTTTAAGACCCCATTAAATTTTTGCACCAACAATTAAATAAATATAATACCAATGCAGTAAATTAATTTATAAATTTTTCCCCCACCAGCAGTAAATCTAATAATGATGAAAATTTGTAACTTAATTTCCCCCAACAACTAGCAGTAAAATTAAAATTCTATGTAGTAAATTCATAAGAAGCAAAAGCAGTACTAACCTTTTGATATTTTCATTCACTCGCATAAAAATTCTATCCAAACTCGCACAGCTCGCCCACGAAGAATTGTTTAAAGTAATGAATTTCAGTTCCAAGCTTTCACACTCGATAACTCTAACACAAGATAACATGTTTCAAACTTTACTTTATCCCGGTTGGAAAGGAATTATATACTAAACAAAACTAACCAATGCAGCTTACTAAACACCACAACACATAGCATAACAGCATGACTAAGAAAAGGAAACCAACGGTACCCAAACCGGATTAACCCAGTTTAAAACTGGATAATTTATTCTTTTGAAGACTATTATAAAGTCTAAGAAAGAAATAATAAAACACAAAAAAGTCGAAAGACAAACCCATACCACAAACAATTTGATTTTTGAAAAAAGGACACAACCAACAAAACATAAGAAAAACCACAACAAACCCAACATAAAACGTTGTCACATAACAGGACCTCTCACAAAAACCGCATGCAATCATACTCCCACTCCTGGCCTAACCCACCAGGAAGGACGTCCTGAGCATGCTCTATAGCCGGCCTAACCCACCGTGCTACATCCACGCTTTGTGACCACACTCCTATTTTTAATAAGGGCTACTCAAGGGTGAGTAACTCTTCAAAATAACTGAACTAAAACAAAAAGCTTTTGTGAAAACAACTAACTAAAATCATAATTAAAAAATATTAAACTAATAAAAGTTTTATAAAATGTAAATTACATTATGCAATACATAGATCAGAATACAACACCAAGGACGAACATCCAAAGACAAAACGACCCTACTACACTTGAGAAAGAATGGCCAACTACAATCAATATGCCGCCCACAATCACAACTCAAAGGATTTAGAGTACGACTTGACTTCGCAGAAAAGGACTTCATTGAACTAGACCAATGACCACCTCGATGTTCAAGTATACGTACAGATCCGAGTAACCAGGCATCCCCTCCACGCACAATCTCCACGCCATTCCCAGACAAGGTCAAACACAAAGAAGTTCTCACCAATGAAACAGAAAAACCTGACATAGCCAACCATTCTGAAATCAGATTTGAGTTTGTTGCGAAAACCCAGTCGTTGTCTTGAGAAGACACAATGATTGAATCTGGGACTTCTCTAATAAGAAAACCCAGAAGAAATAAGATGTTCGCCAAATACCAACGTCCATCATCCATCTTTCGAATTGCAGAAAAACTATTCTAAAAAACTCTGTAAAACCCGGATGGGTGGAACCTGATCTAAACTACATTTTATGATTGGATAAATTAGATATTTTACCAATGTAAAGTATTTAATATTAACCAATCATGATCCATCTAACTAACAATCCACTTATTTGTAAGTGCTGAAATTACTTGTAATTTCAGCACCAGAGAGATTTGAATTTAACTTAGAAATTAGTTGAACTCTCCCGAGTACTTCAGCAGCCGCAATAAACCAGTATACCCTAGATCTATTGAGCCTAGCAGAGACTAGTTAAACAACCTGAGACTAGATAGTATAAGAGTAAGATTAGGATCGGTATTAGACTAAGAAGTTGCACGAATCTATCCGGCCGAAAATAAGATAGCGTGACGAGCAGACGGTGTACCCTATCCGAAATTACTCTATGAGTTATACCCATCGAAAATAACTCAAAATGCTTTCAGATTTGATAAATATTTAACATTTGCACTATGGTTTTCTAACTGGAACAACCAGAAAACTTTGGCTTTCATGAAACTTATCTATTAACAACAAACAACCACCGTGTATTTAAATTACGTCCTAAAAATCTGTGAACTTAATACTTCAGAATTTTAAAAATATTATAACTCTGATAAATTGTCGCTTCGTTTGTTTTTACTCAAAAAGTGTATATTCAGAATATAAGCAGGAGTGGTCTAGTTTGTTAGCAGTATACCCAGCAAATGTCTTTCTATTTCATGAAGAGCGGATTGATTTAGGGACACCCAATCCCTCAAAGTTTCGAATTTTTCTAAAAAGCCAACCCCAAGTGAACAAATACTGTAATTGACCATCTTATGCATTTACCTCTCAAGTAGCTCTTCCTGATCTTCTTTGGGTCCAGGATGACCTGTACTGCCATGTGTTGATGTGCGATGCCTGTTCTGAAGTTGAGTACGATGTCTGTGACAAAGAGTGAGTCATTGACGCAGTTGAACAGTGCCCAGGTGGTGCTGCTCTCCTCGTTGAAGAATGCGATGGCCACAGGCAGCACTATCATGTTCGTGATCAGCAGACACAACATCGTGAAGTCCCAGCAGAACCTAGAATGCCATCACAAGTTAGCGCAATAAGTTTCACAATAAGATGATATTGATCCAATGGTTCCTGTGATAGAGTTGAAAAGCAGATAAGAGATAATGTTAATTTAGGCTGATCTTGAATTTTTTCTCCGCATCCGTAGATTATACGGTAAGACTGAAAGACAGTCATGAACGGTTTCATTATGGCCTTGAGAGTATAGTACCAATAATATCTATGCATATAATAAAATAACACCTCAAGGTTACTGTAGCAGCAGTACCACATTCCCTTGAGGTTAAGAATCTTTATGTAACACAATATGAAATTTAGATAAAAGAGTTTTGTTGCTCACTTTAATAAGTATTGTATTTTTATAAAATTTAGATAAATGTGAGAGTTTGGTGCTCAGTTTAAAAAAAAAGTTTTTTTTTGAGTTTTTCATTCAGGCTGCCTTGCCTCATTTTCATCCTCGTTCGTTTCAAACTGCAGTGGTACTCTCCACGCTGCATTCCAAGTTTTTGTAATATGGAGAGATGCACACCCGAATTTTCTGCTAAAGAGATGTCGCTCTATCATGCCAAACCGCGTCTCCACTGGCTCCTCCGTTTTAGTTTTGAAATTAGCCAACCGTATTCGGTACGCTTCTAGGGCCGCTTTATTCAGATCTATAATGTCTTCTTCGGAACAGAATAACTTGATTGAATGCGTAACTGAATCTACATATCTTTTCGGTCCCTGGTTTTTGTTTGGTCGACCTCTGCGTCTTACCGCTATAGGTCCATCCTCTTGCCCCGACTCATCTGAAAAACCGGGAGGAGTGTCCTCTACTTCCGCCTTTCTTGATGTCAGAATGTCCTCCGCCGACTTCTGCACACTTCTGGTTAGCACCTGGTCCGCTAACCTTACCAACTCCTCCTAAAAATTGTTTCTGGAAAGCTTCTAAAACTGTTTCTGGATCCGTTTGTCGAGTTATCCTTCTTAACTTCTCTGGTCTAGTCTTCTTGGGGGTTGATGAGCTTAACCCTACTGCGTTTGGCGTAACCGCAAGTTCCGTATTGTTTTCTTCTGTCACTAATTATCCGATAGCTGCAATGGCAGCTTATGTCTTTCTCGCCTCTCGTACTGTCGGCTTCGTCTGCTTTTTCTCCGTTTTTTCTGTTTGCATTCTTCTCCAGCGATTTTGTCACACTCTTCAGTGGCCCCGCATTGTATGTTTTAGCTCTTTTGAAAGCCAAATTGAGTCCCCCACCCACTGCTGTGCCCTTCGATGTCACAATTGATGCGCTATCCTGGAATTTTTTACGAGCAGTAATTACTGGGTCCTCCTATTGTTGCTCGTGCAAAAAAAAACCTCTTCGAAGTCGCTCTCCACTGATGCATATACAGTTTTCTTCGGTTGTTTTCTGTTTGGCTCGTCTCCTGTTGTAGTTCTCCTTTTGTCTGATTCCTTTCCTGGTGATGGTAGGGCCGCTTTCGTTTTGGGCTATATCACTTTTTCTGATTTCATTGTGGACGGTGATTCAGCACTGACCTTCCCCTTGAGCTGAATTGTTAGGGTCTTCCCGCTTTTGCGGTGCTCGTCTTTCCTTGGGAAGCTCTTTGTCTGCATGTCGTTTTGTTCAGGTGGTTTGTCTTCGATAAATCCCCTACCCGACGAACAGAAAAGTTCATTTCGAAAGTCTGGATTGATCATGCTTGTTTCGCCTAGTGAATTCTTTAACTCTCTTGCCCGCTCTCGATTTTTAGCGGATAGCATTTGCTGTTTGAACTGCGGGCTCACGTCGCGGCTTGTTTGACCCTTCCAAACAATCTTCACGTTGTCCCGAGACTGGTCAATCCTCTTTTTTAGCTGTGAAGCTGTGAGGGTCGAACGCTCCAGATGCTCCTTATCTAAATGATCAGATTCAGTTAAAAATTTGTCCCTTTTTATTTTAGATTAAGTTTTCAGACGTCGTCCAAAGTGTGCCTCAAAAGGAGAATGTTGCATGGATTTTTGCTTATTCCATCTTAGATCTCTTATTATCGTTTTTAAGCAGAAGTTTATGGATGTGACATTTCAGTCCAGGAGCATCATTTTCCTCAGTTTTCGCTTAATCGTCTGTATCGCCAATGGGCAGAATTTTTGTTATATATTATTTTCGGAACGACATTTTTTCATCGCCTTTCCTTCAAAACCAGAAAAATGATAGATGCTTTGTTATTCCGGTTTCCCATATGTATCAATATATGTACGTAGGAATTTTATCGACAATTTTCCCCCAGTAGAATTTGTAGTTTTGACCGATGGAAGTTTTGAGCACCTATCAATCGCTACTATTAAATAGATCTTCTTTCTTTTGCGGTTATCGAGTGGTCAGCGTAATCTAGTTGTAATTCCTGTCGCGGCTGGGTCAGCAGTGGAAGCGGTGTAGTGGAATTTTTTGGAATGATATGTTTAGCGTTCCTACTATAGCGGGTGCAGCTCCTCGGCCAAGTTGACGTTGTTCTTATGCATGTGGGTCACCACAAATAATGAGAAACATCCAAAATCGCCTCCTGACCGGGATGCCCGCAAAAAAATCGCTTGAGAACTGCCGGTCGCAGATGCCCTGGAACTGCCAACCGGTTGTCCACGAGGATACAAACATCGACAACAGATCATTAAAGCCAGAGAGGGTTGATGTATGGGCCCATGAGCTCAAATCCATGTCGGTCGTTTCTCTCAATGACTCTCCGGAGCCTGTCCAACCACGTGTCCTCTGTAATCAGCTCGTCGAGCAAACTTTTGTTGAATAGCTTTGACAGGTTGCATAGTCCGCTTTCTCCTCATATCTGCTTCGCCAGGCGAAATTCGTTTTGACGTGATAGAGGGCTGACTCTCCTCCCTAATTTGGGTGTTATTGCGTGGACTTCAGCGCTTTCCTCCGGGTTCTTCGCTGTGAAGTCCACCTCTATAATTTTCGGACCCTCTCTGGCTCCTTCTTCAAATTCGATTTGGCGTTTCGAATTTGAGCTAGAAAGTTCCGATTTGACCTCTACTTCCAACATCGAATTTGAGTTATATTCCCGATCCGCTGCTATCAAATCCCAAAAGGAAACTAACTGTGCTGATGAAACAGTCGATGTTGATGTCCCACGTTGGTATTGGTCGAAGATCCATCGCTCTCCATTCATTTTGTGGTACATCTGAATCTTTCGGTGCTCCATAACTTTTTGAGTCATTGTTTGACGTTCTCCGCTTTTTCACGCCTGTTTTTCATGTATCCTTATTGTTTCTCTAGACTTTCTCCTCTCTGATTTGTTTTCGTCCTATTTCACTTCTCCGTTTTTTTTCTGTATCTTGCGCTCCGTTTTTTCTATATAACTTTTCTGAAATTCTTTCAACCTACTCTACTGAATGAGAATAACGACACAAACTGCCTCTTTGCAGTTTACAGAATCGTGAACTTGGTTTGCTTTTGTTCCGGTCGAGCCTCGTTCGTTTTTGACCGTACTGGTTGCCATAGCATCGGCGAGATGACGAGTTTTGGTTATTATTACTCATTTTGGCTTTGAATTTTCTAGAATTATTTCATTCCGGTTGAGCCCTCCTGATCATTTAGTCGACTGCTTAATCAGTCGAGACGTTTGCGAAAGCTCTCTATAGAGGCAACCACGAACTTTTCGTCAAGTTTCGATTCTGGCCACGGTTCACCGTTTGGCTCTCTCGATAGGTAATCTACTCTACCCATGTCTTTCCCCGGAATGTGTACTACTTTAAGCTGATACGGTAATAGTCTGTCCACCCCTCTAGTCAGTCGGGATTGATGCGTTTTATTAGAACGATGTTAATCTAATGCGGACGTTAGAGCCTTCTGATCTGTGGCTATTATGAATTATTTTCCCAATAGATAGTGTTTAAATCGGTCTACTAATCTTACTACTGCTAGCAGTTCCGGCTCGTTAGTCGAAAATTTTTTCTCTTGGGAAATTGAGTAGCGTGATGCAATTACAATTGGTATCCAATCCCCATCCCCCTCTTTTTGTCCGAGGGTTGCTCCTAGACCGCTATGGCTAGCATCGCACTTTGCTCGAGTACTATTCGATGGGTTATGGTAATTAATTTGGGCGATATTTGCAACCGCTTTTTTTAATGTCTCGATTATCTCCGAGTGTTCTCTCCCACATTTGATTTTTTAACTGGTAATTTTACCTTTTTTAAGTTTCCTTTCGCATTTTCCTCTCGGAGTAGAGGTTTTACTTTGTCTGTTAAACGCACTGCATTTGCGATAAATTTTGACGGATGATTTATGCTACCCTTTAAGGATTCGGAGCTGTTTATGCAGTTTTGGTGGGTTTAGTTTCAGTATCGCATCTGTTTTTGTTATTTTTGTTGTAATTCCGCTCGGTGACAATTTATGACCCAATCAGTTTAGTTACGTTTTAAAAAAACTCATAATTGCGAAGCTTTTTAGTGCAAGGTTCTCATCCTTGAGTCATTTCATTACGTCTACAACTTACTTTATGTTCTCGTTCCGTGCCTTTTGAGACAACCAGAATATCATCCAAAAAGCAAAACTTGTTTTTTACGTGGTTTATGGTTCAATTCATTGCCTTTTGGAACTCTGCTGGCATGTCAGCCAGCCCATAAAACCCCGCGAGAAGCCTATATGTACCTGTTGCTTGTCCGCCTATAACTTTGAAAATGCATTGCGTAGCTGTTTGAGCAGTTTGCTTCAATTGGCCGTAAGCAAAATTCAAGTCTAGAACTGAAAAGTATAACATTCCTTTTGTGTTCGCTGTTACTATTTGGCTAACTCCATCCAGCTGTTCATCAACATTTGGCATCTGATACTTGTTTTTGGACAAGTGCCTATTAATTGGTTCGGCGTCCAATGCCAACTTTATAGAATCTTCTTTTTTTACCGTGATGACAGTTGGGGCAATATAATGCAATCGCTGGTACATTTATCTGATCGTTGATCAATGTATGTGCCCTTCGTTGAGAAGTTTTAAATGTGGATCGGTATCCTCCTGCCTTTTTCTTGTATTGGGCATTTAA